GGGGGCTGAAAATGTTGGTAAAAATTTTGTTTAATTAACTCTAATGTGTAAAACCAAAATGTATAAGTATTTTAACTGATAACATCTTCAACCTTTGCTCTAACACTACATTTGATGACAGCTTTATAGTTGGACTGTTGTTTTGAACAGAGTTACGGAGTCAATATACAGAAATACAGGACCAGGATTTAATTCAATATCTCCGGAGAATGTTTTCACTGTTTAAAATATTACAGAAGTCACAGAAGGATTGTTTTTAATACTGTATAAATCTTTTTGTGAACTATGTTGACAAATGGCTTAAAATATCCTCGAAAATATCCAATATTTTATACGTATTATAAAATATGTGGGACATATATTTGCACAAATTTGGTATTTAAATATATAATATGTGGTATTTGACTACTTACCAGATGAGGATAAGATTCCATGTTGATAAATAACTTCGGAATAATATCGCAAGTAAAATGGCGAGTAAAAAAAGACAGCCAATTCAAGATAAATTGATAAAAATATCAAGATATTTTTGAAAGAATATAAACACGATTTATACACGAGGCCTGACGAGGCTAAAGTATGCCCGTTCGCAGGTTAGATGCGGGCACGATGTAAACAATTGATGTAAACGATTGATGTAAACGAATCGCTGATTGGCTTAAATTGTCTTAAAATATATAAGCTCGTCCCTGAATGGCTATGTGTTAACATACGGTAACATTACGGTACTGTACGTTTGCGATAGCAATATATCTGCTTCGCAGATACAAAAATCCTATGAAAAACTGTAACTGCAGACTGGGATGAGGTGGATATGGCTACCATACTGAACACTGGGGAGATGCAGTAACAAAATTACAGTCAACATTCTGTACAGTGCACAGTATGCTCACAATTTAAAAATCAAGGAAATTATAACATAAACAACTAACCTGCAATACATCCCAGGAAATTTAAACACAACCATTTGGGGGGCAAAATGATCAGGGCGCATTGCCACTTAAAGGGTCAATCTTCTCGATGGGGGGGGGGGGGTCTTGACCAAGAAGAAAATAAACAGTCAAATAATCATTGAATAAAAAATATATAGCTTACACTTTGATGACGGAAATAAGTACAGTAGGCAATGCAATGCAAGACAACCCCATATGCTCAAATATCCGCAAAGTTTTTAAAGGTGACCCACCAGCAACAAGGATTGCGAATGATAAAAGGAAGTTCCCAGCAGGGATTTTGGTACCAACCATATTTGGTTGACTATCCCACACATTTGATCCACAGCCTTGATTAGGACACGTTGTCACAACTTTAGCCATTGTACCACAATGCTGTACATCAACCAGTGGATTAGGGCTTCTGCATAATGGGCAGATTTGAAACAGGAGCATTAGTTGAGATAAACATAAAATGAATTTGGGTTCTGTTCGCATGTTGTAATCATTGACATAAGCTCTAGAAAAATTAATAGATAATTAATATATAGATATGACAGCAAACAAGTTACACACAGTGGGCATATTAGGCTATTTTGTCACACCTAATTGGCCTAATGTCAATGGGTAATATCTTGGTTGAATGTTCATTTGCCAACAAAGATGTCATGCAATACTAATCGTAACCATAGGCTGGTAAATATAAATTGTTTGGTTAAACATGTTAATTAAAGTCATTTATACCTATCTCCTTTCATGGTAATGGGAGCAGTTTCTATATCAACTTGCATCTATAACAGCATAAAAAGATGCTAAAACTTTATACTTGTTCTCATTATCAGTGGCAGAACAAAATTAGAAGTTGACAAAATATTAAAATATATGTTTAGAATACTAAGTTACTATACCTATTTGCCATGAATATATTAAAACACTCATGTTAAATACATACGTCCATCTCCATGACATCTGGGTGTTCCTGGTCGATATTTTCCGGGTCTGTCACTTGACTTGTTTCGCCACTACTCTGAGTTGACGACTCACCATACTTTGCATGAAAAATCTATATAAATTAAATATATACATCTAAAAAGATTGTTTATTAATTAAAGGTGTAAAGGAATTTTGGACGAAGTACTGTAGCTCACCTTACGGCGAATATCTCTTTCCGTCTCTTCTGGCTTTGTCGACGAGGACAAGTAAACAGATGATATGGACACACACTGACTCCTACTTCGTCTCTTTTCAATCGAGGCATATATTTCATGTTTTTTTTCTTCCGAAGCAAGGACAAAAAATTTCCTTTGAAAGTCATCTTCTTTAAAATGCTGCGAGCATATTGACGATGTCGTCCCAGGTGTCCATTTTAATCTCTTTCGCTGAACGCCGAAATCGAACCACTTCTTTCGTCTTTTCCGAGCTTCCCGTCGCTCATCGTCCGCGAATGGTATACAATGCAGCACAATACCCTTTTTCGGCTCATTAGAACAGCCGTACACAACACACCTATTTGGCATTTTTTAGCGAAAAAGACTACAATGTTTTCCTATAGTTTACACATTTACATGATATGTAACCTGAAGTTCAGGCTCTAATTTGAAATAGGGCCTGACACAAAACCAGTCTAGACCGTGGGACGCCCACATATTATTTTTAGACACAACATGCAATATGATTGACAAGTGTTGTAGATTTCATTGCACAAAAAAATATATATTCTCATGAACATGTCCGCAGAGTGTGCATTTTGCTCTTTAATTAAACTTAAAAATTCAAGGTACTTTTATATAATTAAGAGTTAGTTTCTCTATTTAACTACCCTGGGTACTATTTAACCGAACAGCAAACAAACGCAAACAAAGATTTAATTTATAGTCAGTTCTGTGCACGGCTTGACTGCCAAGCTTTCTCAAGGTCTCAACTTGCTGGACGCGGAACAGCAACAATGAAATTCTCAATCGTACCACGAAGAAGGCGATGTAGCTCAGAAAACAACGCCGGTAGGACCTGATAATAAAAATAAGACTTTTGCCGGCGAAGCCAGTTGGCAGAACATCTTGGCTGTCAACAACAAGCTTTCGAATACATGACTAGTTTGGCTGTTCTTTCAGCGTCGTGTGTCCAAAATTCGTCAAAGATTTTGATCAAGCCCTTTCAAAATACTGTGTGTTTGATTTATTTTCTGCCATAAAGCATAAAAGAAAAGAAATTCGAAGAAATCGATAATGGAATTTGATACGTGCGTTTGACCTTTGTATTATTAAATTGTCGCCTTGACCGAGCTATTTTTAAAACTGTTGTTTATGTGAACTTGCAGCCAATCAAAATCTTTCATGATGCTGATCAACCAATCAGATTTCCCGTCTGGATGGGAATCCCACGGTTTAGATAGGTTTTGTGTCAGGCCCTATTCTGTGATTAGGGCCTGAACTTCAGGTTACATGATATGCGAGGTTTTGTCTTGAAAGCCTCTCCCTGGGTGTACGTCACTTCCGGCAAGTACTTACCAGGCTCTTTTCTCCCGGTCATATTTTCAATTAGCCAACTTTAACAGCAAAAATGATAAGGAAGATTAAATTTTTGCTTATGAGAATGTAGAAAACATTAATCTAGTGCATGACGTTTTACATTATACATTTATTTACTTTTAATAACATTATTGGTTCTGTTATAATCACGTGAGCTGTCACGTGGTGAGACGATTAAAAACACACGTGTAGGGAATCGGAAGTTAGTTGGGATAAAACGGACAACATGTAAATTTATGTTGCGTTATTTTATATTAAAATAACTATATAAAAAGCAAGTGTGAGAGTGCTTTTTACATGGAGCCCGATATGGGATACGGCAGAACATCATACGGAATACGAGGTATCAATAATTGTGCGTTTAAGTCGACGACAGTGTTACAGTGAACACGAGTCTGTGAGTCATTCGCGAGCGTGTCGGTTGGTCGATATCGTGGTTAGAGGTAAATTCTTTCCTTTTGAGAGATCCCTTTGGGGTTGTGCATTGTTCTGAAGTGTATAGGTTTTATGATATAGTAAAGATTAGAAATTCTATATATTTTTTGTGTCTAATACGTAGCATTGTATTGTAAAAACGCGTCCACAGTGTGTATTGTGTAGTCGGTATCTCATATTTCATATTTGTCATGGAGGAAAATTTAGCAAGGGCTAAAGGCAGACACCTTGGTCTCGACGCGTATTTGAAAACTCTTTTAAGTGAATTAAACGAGTATGTTTCTTCGGAAAGCGGTGATTGCGAGCAATCTAAACTCCTTGGGTTGAGAAACAATGTGGCTAGTATTATCGAACAATTGGCGACTGTGCACAATGAAATATTATCCTTGATAGATCCAAAGGACATTGAGCCGGAAATTATTCGTCACATGAAAGCCTTAGAACCTAGTCACCAAGTTTTGGCAAAGGCGGATTTGAAACTTGAAGAAATTAAGCAAGGGCAAAGTAATATTAATAGCACAAGTTATTCCTTAGGTGCAGCCGGTTTAAGCACAAATAGAAGTCCTGCGCATTGTAAGCTGCCACAATTAGCATTACCAGAGTTTACGGGGGAACCCTTAGATTGGCAGGGGTTCTGGGATCAGTATCAAGTGTCGATCCACAGTAATATAAACATAAGTGATATTGATAAATTCAATTATTTAAAAGGTTGTGTGAAAGGGGAAGCTCTTGCGGCTATTTCAGGGTTGACTTTAACTTCAGATAATTATCAGGAGGCAGTTCAGGTTTTAAAGGATAGATTTGGGAATGAGCAGGTGCTCATTTCTGCACATATGGAGTCTCTACTTAAAATTAATAAAATTAAGTCAGTTGATAACATTAAGGGGTTAAGGATGTTGTACAGTCATGTTGAAAACTGTATGAGGAACTTGAAATCTCTTAAGCTTGACACCAGTGGGTATGGCTCTCTTCTCATTCCAATTTTAAAGGACCGCTTGCTCGATGAGATTAATATGATTATTTCGAGACAGTTTTGTGGTAAAGTATGGAACTTAGATAAGGTTATGGAATTTTTTAACAATGAGCTTCGTGCTCAAGAAGATTGTAATTTCTCATTGAGTAATAAATCAGATGGTAGATCTGACAATTTCAGGAAAAGGGAGCCCTATACAGCAAGTGGGTTATTCAGTCAAACTAGTAAAACTCTCTGTATATATTGTAATGAGGGGGGACATCTTCCATCTAGGTGTAGTAAGGTCTCGAATCACCATTCTCGGAAAGACATATTACGGAAAAAAGGGAGATGTTTTATTTGTTTAGATTCGAGACATATAGCAAAAAATTGTACGGCAACTTATGTTTGTAAGCGGTGCAACAAGGGTAAACACCACATTTCCATTTGTGAGGCAGCTTCGGGCAGACGAAATGCAAGTAAGGAGAATGGGAGCAAAGAGGATGAGGAGAGTAGGGAATTTGTAGGTCATACTGGCTGTGACCAGCAGGGAATATTATTACAAACAGCTAGAGTACAGGTCTATGATGAGGAGAATATTGGTACTCAAGTAGCTACCAGGATTTTCTTTGATAGTGGAAGCCTGCGGTCTTACATTTCTGAATAGGTTAGAGCTAGGTTGCAGTTAAAGTCGATCAGGTCAGAAAAGGTCATAATTAAGACCTTTGGTCAGGACAATGATAGCAAGGTTAAGAGACTAGATGTCGTTCAGGTCAAAGTTAAGAATAAATCTGATTCTAGGTGCACCAGTGTTGAGGCTATATGTGTTCCCACAATTTGCAGCCCTCTTACTAATCAATATATCTCAAAAACGCATGATTTGGAAGAATTTGAGGACTTGGAATTGGCTGACCATGAAGGCGATTCTCCAAACCTCCCAGTAGGAATTTTAATTGGGGTAGATTATTACCACACGTTCATAACAGGAAAGGTTGTGCGAAGTAAGGCGGGTCCAGTAGCATGCGGAACTAAGGTGGGATGGGTAGTAAGTGGCAAAATTGGGACAGGTCCTCCTGACCTGCATTGTTTCGAGACCCATATCCTACGTGCCTCAGTTGAATGTAAAGAAACATCAGACGCTTTACGACAAGTTTTAGATAAATTTTGGTCCGTGGAGACTATAGGCTCCTTCAGTGACTATGTGGTCAGTCAGTTTGAAAATGACATAGGGCACGACGGGACCCAATATGTAACGAAATTACCCTTTAAGCCAGACCATGAGCAGCTGCCAGACAACTTTAGTGTTGTGAAGGGCGTTTAACATGTCTAAAACGGCGTTTAACATCCAAAGGAATTCTCAGGGAGTATGATACGATCTTTACAGAGTACGAGAAAAACGGAATAATTGAACGCGTTCCTTCACATGAGATTGCTGGGGAAGTAGGTGGGGTCCATTATCTCCCGCATCGACCGGTCGTGCGTGAGGACAAGCAGACTACGAAAATTCAGGCAGTTTTCGACGCCTCGTGTCAGGTTAACGGCCCCTCACTTAACCAATGTTTGTATTCAGGACCAAATCTTATTGCCAAGATATTTGACATCCTAGTGAGATTTAGGCTTAATAAGATAGGCATCCTAGCAGATATAAAACAGGCGTTCCTTAACATC